TTTACGCGCGCTTTATTTCGCGCGCACACTCGTTAAAATTCTTTTGTAAATGTATAAAATTACCAAAACAAGTGAGGAGGAATTTAATAAAATTACCAAGAAGTGAGGAATTCGTACACATATTGATAAATTCATTGATAAATCATAGAATCATTGATAAATAATAAAATATCGTATACAAATGATTAAATAAGATTATTTCATTGCTCAATTTTGTCCCTTAAAAGGATTTTATTTGATTGGAAAATAAATAATTCCAGTGCCACTATTTTTCTTCAATTTAGCAATTGTTTAACTTAATGATTAAGAAATTTTAAATAATATAAGCATAATGTGATGATGTTAAAATTAATGAAAACCTGTATATTCAGAGCGTTGAAACAAAATAGTTAAAAGAATGGCATATTGTGTATAACAATGTCATAAAGGGTGAATGGAATTATCGATTGAACGCGTTTTATTTTATAATCTGTCCACGCATTTTCATTGACCTTTTAGTTGGCTTTATCATTTAAAATGACGAGTCACGTATACTATGTAGGTGCTACGGATACAAAAGATATTCAAACGACATTTCTTGCAATCATTGCAGCAAAATAAAGCAGAGTAAGTTTTCAACAAAGCATAGGACGTTGAAAGATTCTTACAAGTAGAAATCTTCGAATAAATTAAATTACTATTTTATTTACATCGTTGTTTTCATTATTTTTCCATAATTATATCGTCAGTGATGCTATAAGGAATGGAAATTGAGACTTGCAAGGAAGTAACTAATTTCTTCCCTAAATTGGATATTAAAATTAGAGGAAATGATATAATAAATTCATAGGTGTAACGACGATTAATATAATGACGCGTCCTGTAAATGAATGTAAATCGAAGATCGCAAAAAGATCGGCCGTTGATTTGTTCAACTGGTATATTTTCACATCAATCCTTTATGTTAGCAATACCTGATAATTTCTTCTACGAAGAAACGACCGGTTGATACATTAATAAGCAAGAGCTCAGTCGAAGTACTTTTTTTTTTGTTTTTCATTTTGCAAGGTAGTTAAAATTGTGTTCAACGTTGCAGAAGGTATACGAACGAAATATAAAAGGCAGATGAAACAAATCTATGCTTGAATGCATAAACGAACATCGTTATTGGATTTTAATAATTCGAACAAACAAACAGAATTAAATTATCGCAGCCCCGTTTTATTTACAAAAGCATCATACAAAATTTTAACTATTTTTATTTTTTTGTACACTACTTCCTCTTTGAGTGTTGTTAGTTTGAAGGAGCAAAAAAAAAAAAAGAAAGTTCCCGATCTGACAAACGAAAAGTGTATTTCAACATTTTTGTTACGTACGAGATTTAGCATCTCTGTCGAGTACAACTTTTATTTTAATCGCGAAACGTTTGTTTCTATCGCAGACGAGGTATATACGAGATAGGCATAGTATCTCTCTCATGGGGCTTTGTGCCGTACAAACTGGAATACCGATTTTGAAAAGAAATTCCTTTTCTGTTACATCTACAAATAATTGTGTGTTTACTAACTATTGGTTGACCGGCAACAGAAAGGCGCGCGTGTGCAATAAATTATTCACCAATGAAAATTTGCGTCTTCATATTTTTCATTACAACACAACGAGAATATTATCAACAAATCGATGAGACTTTCATGATGAAAATTATTTCAAATACGTACGCTATTGAAACTGCTTTTAATTATGCATACACGTTACAATTCTGTAACGCGTTTCTGCTTCTATGATTATCATCGTAAAAGTCATTAGTTTAAGTGAGAACAAATAAATAAAATGTTGCAAATATGTACATACGTTTTAGATTATGCGATATTTCAACAAAAAAATGTTCCGTTCAAGTGTATACAAAAATGTCAATATCGATTTCCTTATCTTGCAACTATTTCTTGTCGATGTAATGTCAATATAGATGTGTGATGGTGTTCTATGATTTTTTCTTTATTGATTATATATCGCGTGCTAGAATATCGAGGGATTCACGCAATTTGAACGATGATATTAGATTGGGTACTATTTAGTGTACGATCTCGTTTATATTAAGCGACGAGGTTAGTTTATAAAATTAACTTTCTAACCAATGAATGCACAAGTGATCGACGATGCTCGTTGTTTTACTTATCAAGTTGATCAAATATTATTTTTAATGCTATTTTCTATTAATAAAACGGAAGGAGTTAATAATTGTACGTTTATGTATATAATTTTAAGCCTTTCAAAGTTGTTGAAAACATTCATATTTGATGCGGTTCGCCAATTGCGAACGCCTTTACTCGATTTATACATACGATTAAATTTCTTCAGTAGATGGCGCTGTACTACGTTTCAAATGAATCGGTGCATTTCGTGTTGGAATGTAAAAAGTTTATAAAATTAGTTCATTGAGATTTATCGTGAATAGTGTGGGGAACAATTTATGTCACTATAGATAAGATATTTTCATTCAGCTGTTGGGAACTGCATAGAAATCCTGATAACAGTTTGGAATAATAATAGAAGAACGCGATAATAGACAATACCAGCGAAAGCAGTAACTTCGATACCACAATTCATTATCGTAACGTACCTAACTTTTTGTTAGATTATAATAACTGTTTATATTTAGTATTCGATCAATTGCAAGCTTAATAATGTTTGAAGGGTAAGTTTAAAAAAAGCTAATATCACTTGTGACGTATTATCAAATTTAAATAATATGAATTTCCCGCGAAGTGTTCGGATTGGTGCACTTACAGGGCAGTATTGAAACTGTTCACGAATTATTGGACAACATTTGCTACAGTTTTCAACGAATACATCGATATTTCAAAAGTTATTTGTACGCGTTAATTTTTATAAAATAAAGCTTGATCGAATCTGATTCACGAAATCGAATTGTGAAAAAACACGACTTTTATTCGATGTTGTTTTTCAACGAAGAAATGCAAATGGATCCATACGAAAAAAAGCGGTACGTCATACACAGATTGTGTAGATAGGAAATTATAATAAAAGTGACGTTAATATAGTGTCTGTGGTGTGATAAACGTACGAACGTCACGAATTCCTAACCTCATCTTTTTTTTTTCTTTAATTTTTTCGTTTTGCACGTATCTATAAGTATTCCTTTCTTTCGACGCAATAATATGTGATTTTCTTTTCCTTATTTTGCTTCAGGCAAGCCTTGCCCGTTAAGGCAATTTCAATGTGCAAATGGTAATTGTATACCAAGCCCGTGGGTCTGCGACTTACAGGACGACTGTGGAGACAATTCCGACGAAAATACTAACAAATGTGGTGAGCGATGAGGCGGATATTCAAATATATCGTGTATTTTGTAGAAACGCAACGGTCGACGATGCAGAAGTTTTCGCGAAAGGACATCGAATAAAATACGACCACTCGTACGCCATGCCTTGTCATATTTTATTGAATATAAAAGTGGTATTCGATAAAGAGGACAGGCTCAATCAATACCTTACTTTTAATCGTTGGCAGTAGCAAATTTTCACGAATCTACGTACAATCGACGATTAAAGGCCCAATTTTCTAACCTAAAGGATGGTTAACGGAGAAACGAGAGATCAGCATTATTTTTTAACATAAATTGCTTAAAATTTTAAACGATTTGTCGTAATTTATCGAGAAAAGAGTAGATTAAGGATAATATGAAAATTAAGCAAAAACGACAAAGAAAGAACAATCGTATAATGACAACAGGAATTGAATTGTATATAAATCTTTATCAAAAGTAGTTCACGTCTCTCGTGAATCGATAGAACAGTTTTCCGCTAAACGTGGAACCGAAAATTGATCTAAAATTCAATTGTTTCTTTATATCGTAAATCCTTTGATCGAGAGCTCGCAAGATGAAATGTCTTCGGAATGAAATTTGCTGCAACGTGGCTTGATACAAAAACATATTTCCCAATGCAGCAGCTTTTTCCTCTTCTCGCGATCGAGTGCTTTAGGCACGAGCGCGTTCATGCGTATATATTCAACGAACTATCTAGTTGACAAACAAGATGCGTATAACGCTATTTACTCGCATGAAGTTAATACGTCGTTGCAGATAGTAATATATCTGGCTACGTAACGCAAAACTATATTTAAAGCAACGTTAAATATAGTGCTCCTTGGTCGTAAAGCACGAGACTGTGGCCAGGGATTAATCTCCCGTGTTTGTTTACGGAACCAGTTAATAATCTGTTCTGCGGTAATTTAATTGTATTTCCAATACTATCGAAACGTCATCAATAATCTTACCGAGCAGTACCTATCGTTAATGTTTCCACAGGTCAATTACTCTATTCATTTATTGACAATGTAATTTCATTTTCGGAATATCCAGGGAACGTCTTGTGAGAATTGAATTTATTTGGTAGACCTTTTATGGTAAGAAAGAATAGTTCTTTTAAATGTTTCGTCACTTGTAAAATTTCTTCTATCTTCGAATGTAGGAAAAAGAAAAAAGGGGGAAAAAATGTAGATAGACAAAATGTATATAAGAGTAGTACTTTAACTATTTAAGATTCAAAGAGAACCTCTTTTGTAAACCTTTGAATATGAATTTGTCAAATTTTCCATATCCACTGGAATATTCTTATAGGTTAGGTCGGATGATATTTGATAATATTATCATTACTTATATTACAAGAAGAGAAGCAGAATTTCGATTTCGCGCTATACATTAAGGCCAGAACTGTTGGAGAAATTTGATCCTAAAGGAGGCCATGTTGTTTTGCCATTGAGATGGTGACATGTTCGTCATTGAACGTAACGTAACATCGACGATAATATATCATTTCATGATTGAGTTCCTTCCAAGACTAAGCTTATTAACTACACATTTTTGAGCCAGTTCTCCTATTGTTATACATACACTACCGTGCATAAGTATTTGGACACCCGATGCGATCTAATTAAATGGTTCATAGGCCTTTATTATATTGCAATATTTCTATATTTCTATTTATTATATTGCAACAATGAATGTCGTTGAGGTATAGAAGATATTTACCAACAAATTAATGAAAATTATTAAATATTGCGTTCGTCTATGTGTCCACCTGAAATATTGAAATATTCTTCTTCTCGTAGAATTTCATCTATTCTTACTATATTGTCCACTTTATTTGCACCAAAACATTACATTACCACCTCCATGTTTCACCGTTGGCACAACACATTGGTGTAATAATTTTTCATGAAATTTTCGACAAACACTTGAAGCCGTTAAACTCAAGTGTTTTCGCAACATCAATTTTTCACCAATTTCAGTTATTGCTTTTTCATTTATACTAATTCATGTGAAATGTTATTTTCATCGGTATTTATAAACATTATGTGGGTCGCCTGGGATAAGATCGCAAGCCAAGACTATATTAGAGAGTTTTATTTAAAGTATATTTCCTGTATAGTGTCCAAATACTTATGCACGGTAGTGTATGTATTTACTCATTCTTCCAACTATCTGCGTCTGTAATGCGCATATCGTTGGGGAACGATGCATTCACAGAACAAAAAGCAGCACGTGTCACAACCTTACTGTCGCATACAAAATCGATCTATTAATTTGTTCACGAAGCATTTGCATTCATCGGTATCGATTCTTAACTTCGTTAACCAGCTGTACAGGTAACTGATTAACAGCAGCACGTGACAAGCTCGTCCAAACGAATTTGCAACAGGGGCTAACTGTTCAAATTATATTTATTAAAAAAATTAACAAATATCTTCGCACTACTTTTCACATTCGTGCTCATTATGTGCTTCTTTTCTTTCTTTCTCCGAAATACTCAAAGTATGATACATATAATATGAGCCACTCAGAGAAGCCAAAATGACAAACTTCGTCAAATGAAATTTATTACATTATTTTATTTTTTTTTAATGAAGATTTAAGCACCAAGCGTGTACTTTGATACCTAAAATTGGAAGAATTTCAAAATCATTTGGCTTCTGAGTCTTCTATTGTTGAAATATCTAAGGGAAATGACGCTTAAACTGTTACGATAATCGAAGTTTCTAACGATTCGCACAATACTTGACTGCTTTCACGTTCTAACCAATCGAGATGTCGATTGTTAACTGATCTAACGTACGTTGCGCGTGACACGTCGCTGCCAGTTCTGGCAAGGATGACAGAATACGTGCGTGGTACGTCATTTCAACCGAAGCGTTTAATATGTGTGCTTGTCGCCATTCATCGATCGTACGAAGGCATAGGAGTAATTGCGGGGCTTAGGGATCAGGAAATCGTGCAGGTATCACGGTAATACACAGTCTAGGGCTAACGTTTATTTTATGCAACGTTTCAGGCGAAGCGGGAACAGTTACAATCTGAAAAGAGAAAAAAAGAAAAAGAAAAGAAAGATATCGATCGCGATGATAATTGTAATAATTTTATGAATACGTGATTACAGCCCTGGCTGGAATTCCGTAGAGAGATATCGACGATAGAAAAAGCCGGCGTCCTTGTTAGCCCTATGGTTTTCTTCGTCCTGATACACGAGGGATCGGTAACACGTAGGTTCCCGGCGATCTTGCATCAGACAGGTTAAGCGTTTCTAATGTACTTTTTTCTAAAGTTGCTGCCAGGTTGGCGAGTGCCATGGAGGATCGTTCGGTCTTTTCGATCGACCGTTGTAAACACTTGGCGCGAACGTGTCGCGGAGTTTTCTCTTAAATGACCATGTTAGAAATGAGTGCAAGTATGGGGAAAGCTTAGAACATTATTTCCCTTCCATGTTACTTATTCCGTATACTTCAGAATCAGTGTGCGAAAAGGTGTTGGTGACGAGAACATTAGCGGATCGTATGATAATGTTCTCGTCGCTGTTTTTCATATCGATAGCGGGAGTAACTCGAGAAATGTGAATTTCGATATTTTTTGCATAAATAGACTTCACAGGCGTAGTGTATTTTTATCATATAAAAAGGCACATTTCTAACTTTATCAGTCTCACGTTAGAGAGTAGACGAGATTATACGATCGGTATTGAAAAATAGTCAAATGCAAATTTTAAACTGCTTTTCCTAGTGAAATGCAGATTTTACAGGACAACTTAGCGATTGTTTAACAATGCGACATTGGATATCGCGATTGTAGAAGGGAAGTATATAAACGAACATGGATTTATCAAGGGTTGATTTCGAACATGAAGATGTTGGGAAAAGATGCTCAGGGCAAAAGTCTGGGAGAAGACTATGCAGAAAAAGAACCGCGAAAAGTAATGGGTATCGGTGAAGGAACCGGACGACAGCTATAGAAGCGAACACTTCGCCCTGTTCTGCTTCTCGGAACATGTTGATCTTTTACACGCAAACTTTGTTCGCATCTTTTCGTGGATGTTTTTTCGCAAGATTATTTCTCCAAAAATTCACCAAAACGAACCTTCGATTTTTCATAACAGAATTCAACTTTTATTTCATATCTACTACTCGAATCTTTTTCTCTTGTTACTTCGATGTATAAAATACCGATATTTTTGCAATACGCTCTTTTATTAGCTGAAAAAGAAAAAAGAAAAGAGAAACAGAACCGTACAATAGGAGAATTTTCGATACACTCCCGATAGAGTATCGATTATCGGGGTAATTTTCAGATAGGAAATGCCTGAAAAGATGTTCGGTTTCGTTCATAATCTTTGATTTACCGGATGCCAAAATAAAACACGGCGCCGATGTTTGACTCGAAATTAGCCAATCTTACTTTATAAGCTAAGCTGGTTGGCCGACTCCACTGTAGATGCTCGTTTTGTATCCAGACTCTACTGCTTTGTTCTTTGGTCCGCGATCCCTTCTACCCTACATTTCTCGTTTCTTTCGTTTAGGAGCGCCTTTCGGCCAGGCAGCGAAAACTTTACCTCGGCTTGCATCATCTTCCATAGAATGCCTCTCTTGCTGGCTCGTAAATTACGCGGAAACACGTCTATTCTTTTTCTTTCTTTTTTTTTTTCAAGCTATGCATTCAACTTTTACACGACAATTTTGTTTTAATAAACTGTTTTAGTAAATGAAATTTTAACGAAGATCGCAGATACACTACCGTGCATAAGTATTTGGACACTCGATGCGATCTGATTAAAAGGTTCATATGTCTTTATTATATTGCAATATTTCTACCTATAATCAGCAACAATGAATGTCGTTGAGGTGTAGAAGATCTAGGATGTAGCACCAGCAAATTAATGAAAGTTATTAAATATTGCGTTCGTCTATGTGGGTCGTCTGGGATAAGATCGTAAGCCAAAACTATATTAGAGAATTTTATTTAAAGTATATTTCCTGCATAGTGTCCAAATACTTATGCACGGTAGTGTATGCTTTTTATACTCTGTTTTGAGGGGATAAACAATAGGTTTTCTGTTTTCACTTGCCTCCACGTAAATAACACTCGAATACGTTCGTTTAATATTTTACTCGATAGTTTTTTTTCACAAATTTCACCTAATTCGACGGTGAATTCGAACAGATCGGTGAAAAAGGAACTATTTAGAAATTTTTTTCGACGAATTTTCAACAGCATTGACATCGATCGAGATAATTCCATTATTCTTCGAGTAAAGTAGTTGTTCTAACGATTTCTATCAATCTTACGACATATTACATACGTACATTACATACCTTAGCAGAAGAGGAAGAAAAAAC